ACTTTCCTACTTTGCTTGTGTGGATGTCTACTTTGCTCTGCCTTTGCTGTATTTTGACTGGTCTTCTATTCCCAAAACATACTGCTTGTACCTGTCCTACTAATCTCATCTTATTTCCAATTTTCCAAATTTCCCATTCTAAAGTTTATTTTTGTCTTCCAAATTATTTAATATCACTAGCAAATTCCTTCATCTAATTCATCAATAAAATGGTCCTCAGAAACTATTTGATAAGAACTGCTAGAAAATGTGGAAAACAGTCTGATACAAATTAGACTCAGACCAACATCTCACACTGTATTACACAATGAATTCAAAAGGCATTCATACACTGAATAGTAAAAATCATACCATTAAAAAAATTAGATGGAACACTAATGCATTGTTGGTAGAGTTGTGAACTGATTCAACCATTCTGGAGAGCAATTTGGAACTACGCCCAAAGGGCTATAAAACAGTGCATGTCCTTTAATACAGCAATACCACTTCTAGGTCTGTGTATCCCAAAGAGATCACAAAAATGGGAAAAGGACCCACATGTAGAAATATTTACTTATAGCAGCTCTTTTTGTGGTGGCAAAGAATTGGAAATTGAGGGGATGCCCATCAGCTGGAAAATGGCTGAACAAGTTGTGGTACATGAATGTAATACCATTATACTATAAGAAATGATGAGCAGGCAGACTTCGGAAAAACCTGGAAAGACTTGTATGGTCTGATGTTGAGTGAATGAGCAGAACCAGAAGAACATTGTACACAGTAACAGCAACATTGTGCAATGACTAACGTTGATAGACTTAGCCCTTCTCAGCAATACAAGCATCCAAGACATCTCCAAAAGTCTCATGATGGAAAATTTCTTTACAACATAACTAACGTGAAAATATGTTTAACATGAATGTATATGTAGAGCCTATATCAGATTGCATGCCATCTTGGGGTGGAAGAAGGGGAAGAAAATTTAAAACTCAAAAGGTTATGGAAGTGTGAATGTTGAAAACAAAAAATAAAAAAATTAATTAAAAATTAAAATAAAAACTTTTAAAAATTAGAAGAGAAGCCAATCATATACCTTTCATTGCAAAGGACAGAAGATGAATTCTTAACCCAACAAAGGACAGAGGCAATTATAAAAAAAATAATTTTAATTACATTAAATTGAAAAGCTTCTGAAAAACAAAATTAGTCCCTCTAGGATGGGAAAGGAAATGATCGGATGGGAAAGGAAATGATCAAATGGGAAAAAAAAGCCTTTGTATCAGATGTCAGGGATTTGGTATCCAAGACATACAGATAATAGACATACGTATACACACACACACACACACACACACACACACACACACACACCTCTGTCTCTCTATATGTATGTATGTATATATGTGTGTGTGTATATAAATATATATACACACAGACACACACAAAAACTCTCTCTATATATGTGTATGTATATACACACACACACACAACCAAAAGCTGTTTGCCAATAGATAAGTAGTCAAAGGACAGCAACAGTTTTCAAAAGAATTGCATACTATTAACTATGAGAAATGCTCCAGCTCACTAATGATAAGATCATTTTGAATCAAAGGAATCCCAAGGTTTTACCTCATACTCAGCAAACTGGAAAAAATGACAAAATATGGGAATAGTCAATGTTGAAGAGGTTGTGGGAAGACAGACACACCATTGCCTTGGCAGTGGAGATGTGAATGAGTACAACCATTTTGGAAAGCAATTTATAATTATCCAAATAAAGTGACCAAAATGCCCATACTCTTTGAGGTGGAGATTCCACTACTAGGCATACACCCTAAGGAGGCTTCTGATATGGCAATGATGGGGATGGGGATCTGAACTCCTAAAAGAAAAAGGCCATGTCTTTGGTATCTGGACCCCAAAAAGGAAAAACCCTGGACTTTCCCACCTGGCCAAATCTCTGGCATTTCCCTGAGGCTATAATCCTATCAACAGGCCTTTCCATGCAGCTAAACTCAATCTCCCAATTCTGTTCTGTTACCTCCCAACAGCCCCTGCCCACTTCCCACCCTTAATCCTATCTAGACTCTATTCTCCCCTTGCCACTAGGTCCAGGTCCCTGCCAGATCCTCCTTAGACCCCTCCTCCAGGCATCCCAGACTGCTTGGCCACTCCTAGATCCCTCTCACAGTCTTTCTGTATATAAGGTCCATCTTGTCTCCATTAAGGTGCTCAGATTCCTATAATCTAGTCAATAGCTCACTAATGTTCAGATTCCTTAAGAGTCTGGCCAATATGGCAGATCTTTAATAAACCACGTCTTTGGCTGAAAGAAGGCTTGGGTCAAATTCTTTCGAGCAGGACTCGTGTTTCTTGTTCTTGATATTTTGGGGTCCCAGTACCCCTAAACCTTTAGACCTCACAGTAAGACTTACATGAATTGATGCAAACTGAGGCAGAATCAAGGAAACAATAAAGGCAAGGCCTGCAACAAAGTTCTGTGGAAAGAACAAGCCTCTTAAAAGTGCCACGAGAAGACAGCCTCACCCACTCCTTTGTAGAGGCAGGAGTTAACTTGGATGTGGAACAAAGCATACATTGCTTTCAGATTTTTTTTAAATTCACTGACAGGTTCTGCAGATTCTTTTTTCTCTTTTTTTTTTCCCAATACTCTACATTACATGAGATGGCCATCTGGGAGCAGGAAGAGGGTGATATAAAAGGGGACATTTAGATAATATAAAAACAAAATATAGCAATCAAACTTATTTTTTTAAAAATGGATCCCAGGCACAATCCAGATGCTTAACCAAGCTAATGCCATTACAACCACCCCTTGCAGGTAATCTCTTCTTCATTCACAATTATCACTGCAGTATAATCAAAACCATGCCTTCCTAGTTTATCAGTGAGAGCAATGAATATAATGGGTCTGACAGTTTCCTGAACAGATTGTGTTTGAGATCCCTCCCTTGATATCATATATCATGGAAAGATATTTAATTGATCTGGCATAATTTGTGCTAACAAAGCCACACTAGTTGATTCCTGTTATCTTTCGCTATTCCTAGCAGTTGCTAACAATTTGTTCCTGCATCTTACCAATCAGCTATTTAGCTGACCAGACTAATAGCCACTAGTCTCTTTAAAAACAGGTATAACATTTGCCCTTATGTGTTCTCATTTCTCAGCTCTCATGGCGAAAATGACACCTGCCAATTCCCTAAGCAGTCTAGGATACGTCTTTAGACACTAGCAATTTGATTATTCATTTTTATAAGAATTCCATTTTCCTGCTCGAGTATGGTTTTGATGATTTCTTTAACAGGTATGACTTGTTCACCAACCACATCAACACACCAGGGTACAATGCAAAGACTTTGCTAGAAAGCCATGTTACACTAGGATTCCTTAATATGGTAACAGACATGATGGAGAGAGAAGATGGCAGGTATGTCAGTGCCTATCATACGTTATTTTCCTGGTTACATGTACTTTCTAGTTTTAGTCTTCCTAACTTATCCTTCCACAGTTGGGACTGGTTAAACCTTTGCCGATCTAGCCTAATTTCTTTCTTTGTGATTTCCCGGGCATCTTTTTTTGAGAGGGAAGTACCCAATTTAGTTGAAAATCCTTTTTATCCTTCTTGTGGCTCAATAAATTCCCTTGAAGTCCCCCTTGGAAGCTTCACTGTGAGAGGAAAGCAGTCATGTCAATTAAGGGTCAGCTGGGTCAAGCTGGAAAAGGCATGACTGGCTCCAATTCTTATAATCTAGCCAAGGGCTCAGATTCTTAAGAGTTGGCCCACGTGCATTAGCAGAACAAATGCTTAGATTCCTTAAGAGTCTGGTCAATATGGTCGATCTTTAATAATATCCAGGATAGGATAGGAAAGGGAAAGGAAGGAAGGGCATAAACCTCCACACCTCAAAAAAGGAATCCCTGGGAGCCTTTGTCAAGTTCATGTTCATTCAGGATCATCCTTTTCCTGCCCTCACGCCTTTGCTTTTTTTGTTTGTGTTTTTTTGTCTTCTGCTTCCCCGACACTTTTTTGTAGCTCCCTCCCACCCATGGGCACTGACATATCCTTATATAACCAAACATAATGTAAACTTACGAACTCATTTAAAAAAAAAAAAAGAAAGAAAGGGCATGACTGTATTAAGGAAGGTCCCATGATCCAAGGACCAGCCTCACCACGCTGGAATGGGCTGCTGACCCAGTGGCTCCTCATGCCATGGTGATATTGGAGGGGACCTAATCTGAGTTAGTGAAAGGCAGGAGTACAGTGAATTACTGGAGCTTTCAACACGTATAAAATGTAGCTTATTCCCTAACCTAAAGGTCTTTCCTTGTCACCTTCAGAGTTCTTTTTCTGATGTATCCCTCCTAATGATATCCTGGTTCACTGGCTTTCCTAAATCCCATTTTCCTTTTCTGCTAACTTTCATAGGCAGCTGGTGGTTCAGTGCACAGAGCATGGGGCTTGGAGTCGGGAGACTTGAGTTCAAATCCAGCCCTCAGGCACTTACTAGCTGTGTGATCCTGAGCAAGACACTTAACCTGTTTGCCTCAGTTTCCACATCAGTTATGGTGAGGATCAAATAGAATAGTTATTTGTAAAGAACTTAGCCCACTGTCAGTGTTTCATAAATGCTAATTATTCCCGTCCCTTCCTTTATTGCATATTATATTACACCCTTCCTTCCTTTCTTTTTCCTATTCCTTTATCTTTGAACAAAGAATAAAATCAATTTGCAATCATTTCTTCTAAAGTTTCCTTCTCCCTTTAGATCCCAAACTAACTCTTCCATGTTAGAAAGTTAACATAAGTCTAGCATGATAAAGGAATAATTCTGGAGAATTAAAAATCCATTAATAAATCAGCAAATGATATACTAGAATAAGAGTTGTAAGAAACTTTAGTGACCATCTAATATACTAGTTCATTAAATATTCAGATACAGAAACTATTTTAAAAAATAAACATTCTTCAGTGTACAAATAGAAAGAATACTCACATGAGTGATCTGATGAAATGTTATGTGGAACCAAAACAAAGTCATCGGTGTCACATGAAGAGTTCTTACTACTAGTACTGGCAGAATCTTTAGACACCTGTAGGTAGTTAGGAGGACCCAAGGGTGGGGAAGATAAGTTGTCTTCCTGAATGTGCTGCATATCTGGAAGGGACTGAAGATGACAAAATTAAAAACCAGCCCAATGACTAAATTCAAGCAATAGCAAACAATAAAACTATGAATATTCTAAACCTTTACACAAAAAAGAGGCCAAAGCAAAATTTTAACACAAATAAGATTTCACAAGTTCCTATTTTAAAAGTTTTCCATTTAGAAAGAAAAAAATGCCTGTACATCCTACTTGAAGGTTTCTAAAAATACAATGACCAAGCTGGGCCCCACAGAAAAGATATGAAATGGGACCTCCTCCAATTTTTTGTGGAGGTGAGGAAACATGAGTGTGGAACACTGCTGAGAATGTTAGACTTTTCAAGGTGCTGGCTAGTTTCACTGAACTGGTTTTTTTCTTTTCTTTATTATAAGGTACAGCAAAGGGGGTTGGAAGGGCAGGAAAAGGATATACTGGGAAATACAGGTGATGGGGAGAAAAAACTATACATATTTTAAAGTTGCTGGGGCATCTTCAGAAAATTTTATGTAGTTTGTAGGAAGCAGCCAAAGATTTTAAACTTATGACATTTCAGAGAATTGTTTCACCATAAAAGAACTAAACTAAAAGAAACATTCAGAATGACAATGTTTCTATATATAAAAATGAAGAAATGGAAATTCATAACCTTGGATTGTTTCAAAGACTGGGCAGAGTACAAGGAACAAGGGTGTTTAAAATTTCAAGTTTCATCCATAATATCAGAATCAAAGCTTTGGAAAACCTTTCCAGTTTTGTTTTGTATGGGAGAGTAAAGAGAAGTTTGGAAATAATGCCCAGCAAGAGATCCCAAAGTAATGCAGGCCAGGTTCCACGTTGCAATTAGGCCCAAGCTGGGGTCTTTACCTGATCCGAGGATCCCAACTCTAATGGACAGTTTGTAATCTACTAACTTTCTGGATCAAACAAAAGTTTCCTCAAACAATCAGTTTTAGTAACTTGTTTACTGCCCAAGTTGCCGATTACTACTCAGCTAATTTTACGAGGTAAAAATACTGGAGTCATTCTAACTACCTTCCAGGCTAAGATGAGACTGTAGATTATCATTGATCGGTCGTGCACTACAGACACAACTTATACCTGGCCAACCTCCCCAAGGGCTGCAGCATCTTTCCTACTAGCCCAATCCACACATAATGGAAATTTCTATGTTAAAAGCTTTACACAGTCATTTGACCTTGCACAGATCCTTGAGTCCCTCAAAAACTGGAACCTATCACTATACAAAACCTAAGCTGCTCGTTTCCTAGCATCTCGAGGGCCCTCTAAGAGGCCCCTTTCCCAAAGAATTTCTAAGCCTTGTAGGGAGTGATATGGTTGGGCCTGTGCTTTAGGAAGGTTATTTTGGCAGCCATGTCGAGGATGAAGAGTAGAGGACAGAAAATGGGAGCAGGAAGACCAACCAGCAGGCTCTCATCATGATCCAAGCAAGAAGCAAGAAGAGTCTGAACTAGGACAGCAGTTGTATGAGAGAAGGGACCAGTGCTAGAGACTGGGGAAATGGAAGTGGCACTCCTGGGTAACTGCCTGCATACAGGGAGGACAGAGCTGAAGGAAAATTTTAAGGATAAGCCAAGAGTGTTGGAAGAATGGCCACACATCCAACAGAAATAGGGAAGTCTGGGAGGGGTGAGGGCTGGGAAGACAATGAATTTGATTGCAAAACATCACCCACCATCCCATTTCTTTTTTCTCCTCTAACTTCAGACACTAGTGCTTAATACTTTCTGACAGAGAGAGGTTTCTCACCCAAAGTTATCAAGCATCTTGGCTACTATTGGGCAGTCACAGAGGAAATTCATCACAATTATATTAACCGGTGTTCAGATAAAGTTCTCCCCACTGCCAGTCTCTCTCTTTTTTTTTTTTTTTTGCCTTTTTTTGATGAGGCAATTGGGGTTAAGTGACTTGCCCAGGATCACACAGCTAGTGTCATGTGTCTGAGATTGGATTTGAACTCATGTCCTCCTGACTCCAAGGCCAGAGCTCTATCCAATGCGCCCCCTAGCTGCCCCACCAGTCTCTTTTTTTATTCCACTTAGTCATACCCCAAAAACTGCGATAAATGAACTGTTTTCTTGCACCTCTCTGCTGATACTCTTGTCTCCTTCAAACCAAATGCAGTCTACCTGCTCAAACAAAACCAGTCCCTCCATCCTCATACTCCCTCCCCTCCTTCAGATTCTCTCCCAAACCATGCCCCACCACTGACCCTCTTGATCTAACAGCACCCCATCTCCCACTTGGTTTCCCTTTCTGCTCCCTGTTTACTGGGCTCCTTTGTGACCTTGGCATGTACCCCCCCACCTCATATCTAGCCACGCCACACTGAAATAGGACCTCACTCCCCAGCCAGCTCTTTGTATCCCAGCATGGATAGGAATACGTTTTTTTTTTTTACCCCAAAAATTCAGAAGGGTCAAGGTTTGGCACAACTACTGCTGTGGGCCTTGTGGTTCTCCTGAAGGATGATGGGGAACACAGAAGGAAGAGGCACTGCACTGGTTGCAGAAGCGGGTCACATATTTTCTTCAGCACTACGCCACCCCTGTAAGCCCTAGTCTGCTGGGGCTGCAAGTTTTTGGGAAAGTCCCCTGCTGGAGCAGAACCCTCTGCCTCTCTTTCCAGCTTGAGTTTGGCAAAAAAGACTAAAAGCCAAGACCCAGATAATGCTGATCCAGGGTAGAGCCAGAGTCCTTGAGACACAGAGGATTCTGAAAAATCAAAGGATGACCATGATTGCAGCAGTATGAAAGAAAGCACCAGGCTGGGGAGAAAGGAATAGGGGCAGGTAGGAATAGGTTAAGGAGCCAGAGCGGCTAGAAATCCTAAGACAGGAAAGAGGATTTGGTCAGGATATTTGAGCGATAACAGCCATGAAAATGGAGATGACTCAAAGTTGCAGAACAAGGGACACAAGTTTAGGCAGAAGCAATTTCATGGGGACCAGCAAATGTAAGGATGTCGGCTCAAAGACTGTTCTGGAACCACTAAGAACACTGTATAACACAGATGGAATAGATCTTACAGATAGACAACAGTCACACGTGTCTCCAGACTCTATAAAATTAACTGAAAGGTAAACCAGAACTCACTGGCGGAGAAGCAAAGCGGCAAGACGGAGAGCTCCCACAAGAACTGCCAGAAACTGAACCAGCGTAGATGGGCACCGGCACCGGGCAGGCTGGAGGAGAGAACAGAGGAGACAGGTCACTCATTTCCAAATTCAGGATCTGAATTCTCCAACAGAAAAACTCTGCAAACTCTTCCGACATAGTGCCGCACTTGTTTCTCAAAAAGTGAAATTCATTTAGAATAGCCTAAATTTTTCAATTCCCCAAGCAAAAAAAATTCAATTGGAGTAGAAGGGGAAGAGAAAGAAAACCCTCTACTAAAAAACCTTAACTTCTATTACAGGCAGAAGAATCACTTCTGGCTCCTAAAGGGAAGTTTCAGCAAGATTATTGTGAGCACATGAGTTTCCCTTGGGTGAATCACTCCCAAGCAGCATCATCCTATTGAATAAGTGCAGCTACTTACATTTTTTAACTGGAACTTGTTCAAGAAAAGGATGACTAAAAAATGTTTCTGTAAGACAAAAAAACAGAGTTTTCTCAGACAAGCCCATAAGCATAGTCCCATAAAGCAGGTAAGCTGTAAGATTCCTAATACTTTGGAACTTACAAAGTGTACAAGTTGCTTCCAATTCCTTCAGGTATGACAGTTTTATTTTTCTAACCAAAAATCTTAAAATCTTTTTTTTTCCTATCACAAAATTTTTAGTTCTAAGATCCCTTGAACACATAATTTTTCTTCTGTCCATTTTCAAAACACTCTTGTTCCTATGGTAATCTTGTGGAAGACCTTAAGTTAGAGATATTAAACTATCATTGCTGTTTTTCACTGTCTAAATGAAAAGGGAATCTGGCAGCTGAATTCTACAATATATTCTCTTCTGTTCCAAGCTGGGTTGTTTTTGCAGCTGGTTTCACAATTGAAGCAATTATTAATTCTCCTTAATTCTCTTCATCCAGTTTACTGGTTTATAGTTTTAATAACAAAAACATTTGCATTTATTAGAGTTGCCATGCATACATGGTAGCAACCATTGAGTACCTGAGAATACATCCAAAATAAAAATCTCTTAATTATTAAACTGAGATAATTCCCTGTGTAATAAAGCCCTTTTTATACCTCTTACAAGACTTATTGCCTTCTACCTTGCATGACCTTCTTCCCTTATCCTCCCCTGCATGTCCATTTACACATTCATCTCTTATACTTTTCACTACCCTCACAGCATCTAGCTAGCAGTGAAAACAATATAGACTTTAATACAGATAATATAGACTTTTAAGACAAAAAAAGGAACTGCAAGCTGAAATCAGATATTCACAATATTTACTACTTAACAAAAAAGTCTTTCAGTCCTTTGCTTCAGGGGCAGGTAGGGTTTGGACAGGATATGTAATTTCACTGTGTGGTAGATAATTAATAACTGAGGAAACAATCTGAGCTATACAATTTATTAGCAAAACAGGCATAATAAACAGGTCAATGGACTCCCTAGTCAGTCCAAAGACCCTGAATACAGAGTAAGACAGATTTTTATGTATTAAAAACAATTAACTGAAAGACCAATTAAAAGAAAACAATTAATCAGGATTAAAAATTAGGTAATCTGATTTCTAATTGGAGGGAAGATTAAGGACTTTGCAAGTTGGGTGTGGGGAACAAACAAGTCCCTGAAATCAGAAAGTGAGCTGTCCCACTCCCCGCTACAAGTGTCTGTTCAATCAAAGGAACATGGAAACAATAACTGATTGACCAACATAGAGCCAGTTTTCAGATAAGACATATGGGTTGCTTTAGATGTTGAATTGTAAGAAAACTCCTTGAATCTATCTTCGGATCTGGCATAACCTAGGCCCTTAGTTAAGGATCTCTGAGCAACAGGTAGGGGCAGTCCAGCTTCCCAGTCACACAGAGCGAGCTTCAAACAATGCAATAAGGTTATCTCACAGTTTCCATAATTGAATAAACTTTCCCACAAGCCAAAAACTGGACTAGACCCATAACTGAATAGAAAGAGAACTGATCTAGCTCCAGAACTGAGTGATAAGATGGAGTCCTCTGCCACAAACGGCAGAGGACAGTGTTTCTCAAACTGTGCTACACAAGGAACTCTGAAACTTTCTAAGTTGTTTTTTTTTTAATACACCACATTAATAGGCATTAAAAATAATAATTAGAGGATTTTACTACAAGGGTTCTGCCAAAGTTTTATTTAAACTGTGGAGAGGCTTGAGAACTCCTGGTATAAGGAATTCCCAGGAAAGAAGTCCCCTCTGGTGCTGCAGGTTAGTATCTATTCTGTATCTGGTTGGCTTAGAAAGTTGCTGGGCCCCTGGAAGTTCTACACCTCTCACAGAGGCACAGGGTTCATGAGTGTTGGAGATGAGGCTGAAACCCAGATTTTCCTACCTCCCTATCCACCCCCCAGGCTCCTTCTCCACATAGCTTCATTATGATGCTTGAATCAGTTACACAAATTTTGCTCAATTGTTTTTCTTTGTTATCTGGGAGAATTCTATGGGGAAAGGGGGATTATTGGGAAGCAACTGTCATAACAAAAAGCATCCATAAAATAATTTCTAAAACTTCACTAGAAAATACATTGGACATTATGAATATGGACCCTGACTTAGTTACTTCATTCTGAACCTTAGAAAGCTTAAAGAAATGTACATTACGCACCAAAGTCCATTCTGTCCTTCTGATTTCTCTGAAGCAAACCCAAGAGAAGATTAGCCAAATATGGTGATGTTTCTCTGGGGATACTATGAGAAAGGGGGGAAAAAAGATATCAATTGAGTATACTGGTTAATTGTAGGTGGGGAAAGGCCTCACTGGTAACAAAGAAGTTGAAAGAGTCTGGGGGGTTTGGGGCTGGGTGGGGAGAGGATTATTAGTTGTGTCAGACATGTTGAATTCAAGGTAGCTACAGGGCACCCAGTTTGAAATGTCCAAAAGGCAGTCAGTAACGTGGGACCAGAGCTCAGAAGACAGACAAAGGCTTAAATCTGGAAATCATCTGAATAGATACGATACTCACAACCCATGAAAACCGATAAACTAAATTTCTTAAGCAAATGAAATTATGAGTCCAAACTGCAGTACTTAAAATTAATCTGAAAATATGCAGTGAAAATAAAATTCTCAATTTTCAGATATTTAAAACCTTCAGTTTAACATACATACCTAGGAATCAAACTTCTGTTCTTTTCATAAAACATCCTCAAGTCTTGGGGACTATTGGCCTATAGGAAAAAAGGGAGGGGAAAAAGGAAATAGTTATGTCAGTCTCTTCATCAGACAAAAGGCTTAAAATGCTTTTCTACATCTTGCGATCAATACTAATCTTACTACAGAGGCTGCACAGTCTTCGTGATAACAGATGGTCCCACTGCACACAAGCTTCCTTGCAGGACCCCTGCTGGATCATGACCACATCCCAATCTTTCCTTTGCCTTGGCCCACTAATTTCACCGAGATGATCCCCTCTTCAGGTAGTGGGTAAGGAATAAATGTTGGTAACAATTAAGAGGATTTAGTCTCTGCCTCCAATTTAGACTGCCATCAGAAAAACTGGGCAAAATGATCATCTGCCCAAAGAAATATATTACATGAACAATTCAGAATCAAGATTATGACAGTCATACTTAAAAAATATTTCTGAGGGGCAGCTAGGTGGTACAATGTGCACCAGCCCTGAAGTCAGGAGGACCCGAGTTCAAATCCGGCCTCCAACCAAACACTTGACACTTACTAGCTGTGTGACCCTGGGCAAGTCACTTAACCCCAATTGCCTAAAAATTAAAAAATTTTAAAAAAAAAAAAGTATTTCTGAGCATTCTCTAGTAGGACTTTAAATGGGAACAGGTAGAAATCAGAACAATTTCCTACTTACACTTAATGCCTGACCAAATCCAACCCACTTCATATTCAGTCTCTTCCAGGGATTAACGAATGTGGACAATTAAATTTACATTTACTACCTAGGAAACCAACCTAAGCCACCTCTTGGCCTAGTACCTGGTCAAAAGTACAAATAAAGTAGGTACTGCTACCTCTACTTCTCAGCACCTAGCTACACTCCAACCTCAGGTGAATGTCAGCTCTGATCAAATCCCGCTTTTTAGAGATGTGCAACAATTTAAAAATTTTTTTTAATTAATTTATTTTTAGTTTTCAACATTCACTTCCATAACCTTTTGAGTTTTAAATTTTCTAGCCCTCCTTCCCAAGATGGCATGCAATCTGATATAGACTACCCATATACATTCATATTAAACATATTTTCACATTAGTCATACTATAAAGAAAAATTAGAACCAATGGGAGAAAGAAGAAACAAAAACAGAACCAAAAAAAACAGCAGTCTGCTTCGATCTGCATTCAGTCTCCATAGTTCTTTCTCTGCAGGTGGACAGCATTTTCCATCATAAGTCTTTTAGAGTTATCTCAGATCCTTGCATTACTGAGAAAAGCTAAGTACATCAAAGTCAGTCATTGCACAATGCTGCTGTTACTGTGTACAATGTTCTCCTGGTTCTGCTCACTTCACTCAGCATCAGACCATACAAGTCTTTCCAGGTTTTTCTGAAGTCTGCCTGCTCGTCATTTCTTATAGCACAATGGTATTCCATCACATTCATGTACTACAACTTGTTCAGGCATTCCCAAATTGATGGGCATCCCCTCAATTTCCAATTCTTTGCCACCACAAAAAGAGCTGCTATAAATAAATACTTATACATGTGGGTCCTTTTCCCATTTTTATGATCTCTTTGGGATACACAGATCTAGAAGTGGTATTGCTGTATTAAAGGATATGCACTATTTTATAGCCCTTCGGGCATAGTTCCAAATTGCTCTCCAGAATGGTTGGATCAGTTCACAACTCCACCAATAATGCATTAGTGTTCCAATTTTCCCCACATCTTCTCCATCACTTATCATTTTCCTGTTCTGTCATGTAACAAATAACTTTTTAAAAGAATATTTTGACATACAAAGCAGAACACAAAAGAAGGCCTACATACAGAACTGCAAACCTCAAACTGGTTCTTTCAAAAGATAAATAACATATTTCACACATTATTCCTGGCCAGCTATGGGGAAGCTTCAAAATGTTTCAATGGCCCTCCTCTCCTCCAAATTCTCCCAATCAAAAGCCGAAAGAAAAAAAAAATCTTTTCAACTAATAAATAATCAAAACAAATGCACAAAGTGGCCATGTTGGAAAATGTGTCTCTTTCTACACTGTAAGTCCATCACCTCTCTGTCAGGATCTAGGTAACATCACGTGTCATCAAAGATCCCTCTGAAAACACGGTTGGTCATTACATTGTTCAGAGTTGCCAGTTCTTTCCAAAATGCTTTTCTTTGCAGTGTGTTGTCTTGGTGTAAGCTTTCCTCCTGGTTCTGTTTGCTTCATTTTGTGTTAGTTCATACCACCCAGGATACTCTGAAATTCCTTCATCATTTCTATTACACTCATACATCATGATTTCGTCAGCCATTCCCCAATTTATAGGCACCCCTCCCCTGTAGCCTTCAGATTCTAGTTCTGTGCTTTTCTTTTTCCCCTTTTTAATTTCCCTTTCAAGCACAGGAATATTCTTTTGCTTGTGACTATTATTAATTCCCAGTATTATCCTACCCTCAACTCCACCCCTTCCTATTTTTACTTGTTTCTCTATTGCACTGATGTATTTCTACACCAAACTGTGTGTTCCGATGTCCTTTCAGATAGAGGTGTGGTTCACGTGAGGCTCCCTCCCCCACGTTTGTATATTCTTCTTACTCATTTCAACACCAAGAAGTACCAAGTCCCCCCCTCTTTGTGGGTTCTTTCCTTCACTCTCCCTTCTCTTTTCCCTCCTGAAGCCGTCAGAACAAAACCAATCCCCACCCCAGGCACTGCTTCTCTTATCCGGGGCCCTTAACCCAGGAGCCAAGAAGGTTCTGAGGGAACACTGGTTTCTGCTCCCCCCATCAGAAGATCAGCCTGACATCCTTTAGAACCCTTTCCAGTCACTCCAATTACCAAAGTTCCTACTCAGCTCTGGCTTCTTCATGAGAAAGGCATCAAAGTCTTCCATTCCATTTAAAGGTCCATGATGTCTCCTCTATGATCATACTCTGCTTTGCAGGGCAAGTGACTCCACTTGGTCATAAGCTTCTCTCTTCTGCCTTCAGCTCAATACTTTATTCCAAGGTCTCTCATTTATGATAGAAGCTGCCAGGCCTTGGTTCCTTACTACTTCCTGGATGGTTGCAACAATTTTTCTTTGCCACAGAAGCTCCAGATTTTATAATTATGATGTTCCTGATACTTTTCCTTTGGAGGTTTCTTTCAGGAGGTGATCAGTAGATTCTATCTTTACTAATTCTAATAGATCAGGGAAGTTTTCACTTATGAATCTTGAAATACAGTGTCCAGACTTTTTCTTTTAATCATGGTTTTAGGGAGTCCAATAAACCTTAAATTACCTCTCCTTGACCTGTTACCTGTTTTCCATATCAGATCTCACATGTCCTTCTATTTTTTTGCCATCTTTTGATTTTGTTCTAATATTTCTTGTCTCACAGAGTTACTGATTTCTCTTTGTTCTATTCTAGTTTTCAGAGAGTCTATTACTTGCATAGAGTTCACCACTTTTTCTTCTATGCCCTATGCTCTCCTTCTAATTCTTTCTTCTTTGCTTCAATTTTTAAATCTCTTGCTTCATTTCTGGGTCACATAGTACTTGTGAAAAATCCATGTTTCCTTGAGTCTATTTACAGCTATTAAAAATTAATCTCTCCTTTTGAGTATCTTTAGATCTACAATAATTTTAATGCTAATTGGTCTCTTCTCTGGTTTACTCCAACTTCAGTTCTTGAATTGGAGCTTTGTGCCTGGGCAAGGCTCAGCCCCCTGCAGCACTGTTGGGTGGGGTAGTCATCCCTGTCTAGTCTAGCCCTGGATCACCTGGGTACTTGCACTTTCCTCCACCTCCCAGATTAGATCCCCCTACATCTTTTGAGGTGGAGAGTGTTACATCTTCAGGATCTTCTATGATGCATTAGGTCTGGATGCTGGGGGCTCTGGAGTCCCTGGGTACTTGAATTCTCCAGGTATGAACACTACCATCCTAGACACCATGGCCAGGGCTTCCAAGTTCTCCAACTCCAAGTTTTCTCTATCTCTGGACACAGTCCTCCATGAACTTGTTTTTGGTTGTGTCTGACTTCCTAACCCCATTTGGGGTTTTCTTGGCAAAGATACTGGAGTGGTTTGCCATTTCCTTTTACAGCTTATTTTACAGATGAGGAAACTGAGGTAAACAGGGTTAAATGACTTGCCCAGGATCATACAGCTAGTCTGAGGTGGGATCTGAACTCTTGTCTTCCTGACTCCAGGCCTAGTTCTCTATCTGCTGTGCCACCTAATGTCTCTGGACTGTCTCTATTTGCACAAGGGGACTGCCAGCTTATCTGCCTGTGCTGATGGATCCCGCTCCTGGTGCCTCCAGACTTCAGGTTGACAGATGTTTTGTGCCCTTTGGGAACAGAAGTCATACACTTGTTATTTCTCACTGGGTTTCTTAACAAGTATTCGGTACAGTGAAAATGTCAAATTTTTGCTGAAGGAGAGATGTAGGAGCTGGTCACTCTGCCTCCACTCATGCAGTCATCTTGTCTGGGCATCCTGGACCCTTCCTTGTAACTCTAGTCTAAGAGATATGCTGGCTTGGTTTGTGAAGAGCCCAGCAGGAAGGGGCAGGAGGAAGGGCAGGAGAAGGTTCTGATGGGGTGCACATCGTTTCTGCCCACTCAGCAGGAAGCAGGAGTCAGAACTAACCTGGCTCCTCCTCCTAACCTCTCTGAGTCAGGGAACACTGCAACCTTCAGGACAGAAGGAAGAAAGCTTAGGAACAAGATGGGAGGACGGACCACAGCAGAAGGACAACCCAGAGTCAAGCATTAGAGAACCTGTGCTACCTGAAAAGGGGGCTTTCCAACCAGGCACTGATAGATCACAGTTCCTATGCTCCACAAGTCAGCCTTGGCATCATAGTGTTGAGACATAATCACTTCAGGAGCCTAGATGGGACAGAAAGATCCAGAAGGCACGGCATTACAGGGACGGTATGTATTTCCCCTCCCCATCACCACCGAAATTACAAAAATGATAACACTTTCTAAGGATGCCATCAAGAACTGCCTATCCTTTTGTGAATTTTCTGTTTATTTTCCCTGGAAAACTTCAAATTCAGCAGAGGTCAAGATGTCTGTCCTTATGGCATAGCTGGTTTATAGTTAGAAAATTTGAACTAATTATTTAAATTATCTTCAGTAAAATAGAGTTAGGAAGGTAAAATTGTCCCAAAAAGAAAACAAGTTTTGTTATCACACTAAATATAAATTACTCTTGAATTATCCAGTTTTGAACCAATCAAATTCTGGGTCCCCTTCATCAGCACAAGTAGCCAGATGGCTGCCAGGTTGCAATTCACCATGACAGAGCTGATCAAGAGGAACATTAAGTTCCTTTCACAGGTCTGGGAAGCTTGAAATTGTAAAAGAAGAGTGACGTAGGGTAGGGTACAGTATACCATGGATCCTACCACAGGATCTTGGAACCCAGTTCTCTGGGTTACGCTGTAAATCAGGTCTCCCAGTGTGGCACCAGAGGGCTTCCACCCAAGAGAGAAGTCTTGGACTCTAGGAGTGCCTTGAAGTCCAAGCTTATCTTCCACATCTGAAGTAGATACATTTTTTAACTGCCTCTGTGACCAACGTTCTAATATTATCCACAAATAAAAAGATGCTACGTGGAAAGAACACCGGGAGAGGGAGAAGAAAAACCTGTTCTGATGTTGAGAAAGTGCTCCAAGGTGCTAAAAAATCCTTTGTTTTGTTCTCTAAAGGTATTTTTAGGCACAGCATCAGCCATACCTTAGATCGTGTCTTAACCCCTTCATGAAGCTTTCATCTCAGAAAACTGGGGAGATCACTTTCTAGGGCAACATTTTTCTGCTGACTCCCATTATAAAGGTTTGCTTTATAGGAATTCACTTTACAACCAACTTTGCTGGAAGGCATTTATTTACTGAAGCGAGAAATACCCACAGAGCACTACTAGATAGGCTCTAGTAGGATGAATGTAACAATACAGACTATTATAAAATCAGATGCATAATCTTTATAATCACATCCTTTCTGAAAAGCGCAAGCATTTATTTCTAGCTCATATTACCTAAGATCTACAGTTCTAAAGAGACAAGGCTACAAGACTCACCATATACATAGGAGATCCGCACAGGGTGGCAGCCATCATGTTACTGTGCAGATAACGAGCAAAACCAAAGTCCGCTATTTCAAGAAATTAAAGGAAAATGATAAATATTTTTCACATTTACCAAAAATCTGTGTTTCCCAACCCAAACTCTAACAGGCAAAATATATAAATTCTCTACTTCTGACATCTCTACCATCTACATAGGGTCTGAAAGCTGGGAAAATATTGTAATGGGAGGGTAGAAGGGAAGGAGGGGAACAAGGAGTCAGATTTTTAAATATGTAAGTTTATTAAATAAAAAGTCTAGACCAGTAAGACATAGAGAAGGTCTGGCAGTTAGAGTTTACCAACATGGACCTTTTCGAATTTTTAGGAAAACAAAAACAAGTTGGCAAAAAACACCTCACTGAAAAGGGTTGGTTGATAAGAGGCCTATCACTGAGGAGAACAAAATTCACTCCTTACATCAACAAACCAAGAAATAGCATCAGCAGCAGTTGCACAAATGTGGCTCTGCCAACCATACTTGGCACTGAGGAAAAGAAAAACTACAAATCATTCACTTAAAATGCCACATGCCACGTTTCTTGTTAAAATGTCATCAACATTTGTTAGGAGATTCTCACTTTTTATTTTTTCCAGAATCCAAATGTAACTGGGCAAGATAAGAAATTCTGCAGACTGCTGACGATTCCAATCACCAATAGGAATGCAGTCTCCTGCTTCACAACTAATCACTTCCAGCATGACTAAGTACTCCAGAAACACCTCATGTCTACCTCATGATTGTACCTGTTACATCAAGGACTCTAAAAATCTAGTCACCCGCCAAATAGAGGGACTGGGCCAGATAGAATGAAGGGGCCTTCTGGTTCTATCCTCCTGGGATCGCTGCAATCAAATTAACCTGCCTCGAGACAAGGAGTTGTCTGGATGGGCACCCAGAGAAGGCGAGACGTTCGGCTCTGCTGCCATGCGCCCGACATTTAGAGCCTGAGCCTTTGGGTCCTGGGTGCCCAGCAGCAGGGGGAAGAGGAGGCAATCTTCATGCAGCACCTTCATGTTTGCCAAGGAATTGGCACACTTTATCTCTTTTGGTTCTTTTCACAACCCTGAGACCCAAGTAGTTTTAGTTATTACCACTTTGTTTACAAATAAAGAAACTGAGGTTAAGGGGCAGCTAGGTGGCGCAGTGGATAGAGCTCCAGCCTTGGAATCAGGAGGACTTGAGTTCAAATGCGGCCTCAGACACTTGACACTTACTAGCTGTGTGACCCTGGGCAAGTCACTTAACCCCTACTGCCTCACCAAAAAAAAAAAAAGAAAGAAAGAAAGAAAGAAAGAAACTGAGGTTAAGAGATAGAACTGACTAGCCCACACTCAGACAACGAATAAACATCAGAGGCAAGATCTGAACCCACGTCTCTCCTGACTCCCAGATGTAGTCCTTTCACCCCTACTCCTCACCGCTTTTTAAAGCAGAACGTTGGCTCCCTGAGGGAAAAACTGCCCCTTTTATATTTCTATCCCAAGGGCCCGGAAAAGTGCCTGATACCTAAGAGGAGCTTAATAAATGCCTGGTTAAGATTTCAAAACAACACAAACTTTAGCGTGTGTTCAAAGCTGATTAAAATCATTGAATATTAATTTTCAAAAAAGTTCATTTAAAAAAAAAACAAAAACAAAAACAAAAACCAAAAAAAAGGATCATTTCTTCAAGAAAATATTTTCATTTACCTATTTTGATCCGAATGCCACTGACACTTGATTTTCTGCGACTGGCGTAAGACAGTAAGATGTTCTGGGGCTTAAGATCCCTGTGAATGATTCCTTTACTATGTAGAATTCGCATGGCAGCTGCAATCTGATGCAGAAACACTCTGATGGTGTCTTCACTGAGAGTTCCTTTAGCTGTTAGGAAAGCAGTTACATAAATATTTGTACATATTTACACATACAAAGCCAAAACACCATCTGCATACACCCATAACTCAATTATCAGTGGTAATAAGGGGAAAGGATGATGTAGCACAGCCACAGATGCTAATTTCATTCAGTGGATTCGTAGCATACTCCTCCAAAGAAATGTTGTCAACTAGTAAGGTCAGCCGGGTCAAGTCTTCGTTTCTTGTTTTAACCACCCACCTCCGGTGAAGAGGGTGGGAGGCGGGGAGGAGATATGATCAAGGGGGTTAAACAAAAGGCCTGGATAATCATCCAAACAGAACTGACTTATTGCAAGATAAACCTTATTATATGTGTATATTAAGCATATTCAAATATATTTGTATTTTATAGCCAAGTGAATGTTGTCTTGACATTTCTAATTAAAGCTGAATTATATTTTAAAGACAAATTACAGACACTGACCACACCAAGGAAAAAAAATTCCATTCCAGAATAACTAGACATTTTTAAATAAATAGTGTTTTTATGTTAGTTCACCCACAAGTGTTCCTACATGGAAAGCAAAGTGTGGCCTAAAGGACCAAACCAAGGAAGAACACCACCATGGACTTTATATGAGCCAGGAGATATCTGGGCTTTTCCCCAAATGTAAACCGGAGGTTTTCAGGAACCAGCCGTTAAAATTTCAGAGTGAGCATTTACACCTCAGTATTCAGCAATCACTACATATCAAGACTCATTTAATCTTTTGTTGATTGTCTAGACTTAAGAAAATATTAATAATGCAAATTAAACTACGCATGTGCATATATTTTTCCCCCCTGGAGAGCCTGCTTATTAAACATTTACCAGTGCATCCTAGCACCACTCTAAAAATACCACCTGAACTCGTCAGAAAGCTCAGAGAATGAAGTCAATCAGCAGCCTGGAGGCTGATAATCATAATAATAATTGGCATTTATATAGCACTCCCTCATACTCATCTCTCATCTAAGCCTCTCAACACCCCCGCCCCCATCCATGTCTTCAGGTCTAAGCCTGCCCCACTGGTGGGCAAGTTCCCTGAGAGATTTGTCTGTGCTGTCTCTGTGTCCCAGTGCTTAGCACAGGGCTGGGCACATAGTAGGCACTTAATAAACGCTTGCTGATTAATACTTTATTAAGTAGAGTCTGCCAGTCAAGATCTTGGGGGGCTAACAGAGCTATGCATCAAAGAGGCTGCTGAGTGCTTACTAGCAACATCTACAGACACCTGTCTGAAGCCATTCACCAAGAATCTGTGAAAAATGAGGGAACCCAGGAGCCGAAGCACTAAGGACACGACCGAGGAAGCAGAGCAGAGAGCAGGGATGGGGATAATCTCACAGCGGGGTGCTCAGGTGCTGGGTGTCAGAGGAAGCAAGGATTCTCTGAATCAGAGGCAGTGCCAAGTAGGAATGACCTAATGAGACTCTCCCAAGAAAGTAAGGCATGGGAATTCAGGGTGCAGTGGAGAAAGGTATGATAAGAGTCAGGATCACCAAGGCAGAGAAACCTGCAGATCTGGACAGAAGCATGTCCTGCACCCTCGTGACCGGGTCAGTTGGCAGCGTGGGCAGGAACCAAGATGGAGAGCCAGAGGCCCACTGGAGCTACTCCAGTCTTGGGGTGAGGGGAGCTATTGAGAATCTCTTTTAACTGATTATTCTTGCAAACTAGATCCCTAACTTCAACCATTCCTGCTCAGCTGGAGTACAGATGCTATCAGAAAGGGGGAGGGAGAGGGTGCCCTAAGAACACCTTCTCCTGCTCTCCTCACAGCTCTGTCCATTCTGTCCAACCCTCTGGTTGGGTTTTAATGGATGCTGGAGAAGAGAATGGTCTCTGTGGCCTCTCCGGCGTGCACATGCACAAGATTTCTAGCAAAGTCTCAGTACTTTTTAACTTTTATGTCAAGCAAGAACGTTATTAATACATCTCTATACACTTAGGTATCTGTGCCCCCGCATGCCACTCCCCTCCCCAATCCATGGCAGTCTGGCCCCTTAGACCTCATGTCACTTTGCCATCACTAACACAACAATGCAACTTTCTGTGAGCATTCCCTGTGGGGATATCTTATCACCCTCTTGCCCTCTGAAGGCCAGGGGCTATGTTTCATCTAAAATCTACCTCCTCTTCCTCAACATGAAGCACAATATTCTGAACCCAGAAGGTATTTAATGTTTGTTGAATGAATCTGTAAAATGTTTTAATTTTATAAAGTGCTTTTACATCAATAACTTCTTTAGTAAATTCTTCTGTCTCTGAAAGTTTTTGCTAATGGCCGCAACAGGTCATTTCTGAGAAAGGGGAAAATGCAACTTAATTTTTCTACCTCTCCCGTAGAGAACGTTACTAAGCATTACTGAAACATATTCCTATGGAGTCTATAAACACTACCAAATATAAACACATATAGACACATTTATAAATCCAAAGTCACAGCCTTGCAAAGAACAAAATCACAAGTTGTTGCTATTAATTTTTTTTTTAAAAAAGCAGGTAAATGTGAAAAAACAGTTGAATATTTATTTATCACAAGCAAAATAAAATTACCTTGTAAATAATCTGCCAAGTCTCCACCATTGCAATACTGATTTTTAAAAAGAGAAAAAGGTAGTTAAAATCAAGGATGTTTATTCAATGGTTATTCAAATCCATTACCAGGTACTAATTTTTAAATGGACTTTCATCTTGTAAAATGTAATAAATATCATCTGAAACATATCCATTCTGAGAACTACAGTAACAAAAATTCAAATATTACTTATGACAATTTAACTATGCTGTATTGAATATACTGGCTCCAATTTTCAAAATTATATTATTTGCAAGCATATTCTCAAGGTACTTATCAAATAAATTTCAAATCCAATTAAGCAGACATTTATAGACTACTACCTACCTCCATCACCAGAAAAACAGAGTTGGGCAATTCCTAAAATAAAACACAATAAACCTGATTTAGATAGATGATCAAAAGCCAAAGCCTAAAGAAATCATGACTATTGTTTTCAAAATAAATTTCAGAAATTGCTTAAAGGTTTTAAAATCTTTATTTTATGCTAATAATAAACACCAACTCTAGACTAAAGGGTGAATGCTATACTAATATGAAATACTAAATGCCACCAGTAAAGTTATAAGCATCTCAAAGTTCAATCAAATTGCTCCTGCTTTAATCACAAAAAGAAGAACCAATTTTATATACTGAGAGCAATAAAGTTAAGATTCATTTTATCACTAGCCTAAACAAAATTCAAAATGGAGAGCAAAAAAAAGTAGTGTTAAGATTCTCTTCAATCACAATTTCCCAATGGTTAAGTGGTCATAAGATAAGAACATTTCTCAACATTTCTCAAAGGAAGAATTGCAAAGTATTTACAACCACATGAAAGAATGCTCAAAACACTAGTAAGAGAAATGCAAATTAAAACAATCCTGAGGTTTCCCCTCACACCTTGCAAAGGGGAAAAGATGATAATTGGCCACGTTGCAGGTGCTACAGGGAGACAAACATGTTGGTACATTTGGGGTGGGGGAGCCTGTGAATCAGCACAACCAATTTGGAAAGCAATTCGGAATTATGCAAATGAAGGGACTGAAATACATACTCTTTAACCCAGAAATTCCATCTACTAAGCTTATAGCCCAAAGAGTTCATTGATTAAAAAGGAAGTCCTCATAGACAACAGAATATACAACAACCTTATCTGTGGTGTCAAAAAAATTAAAACAAATTTGACGCTCACTGATGGGGGGAATATCAAAAAAAACTGTGGTACATGAATGTAATGGGGAAATATCTAAACAAATGTGGTACATGAATGTAATCGAGCATTACTGGGCTATAAGACACAACAAACATGATGAATAGGAATGCTTCCAGAGAAGCATGAAAAGATTTACATGGTCTGATACGGAGTAATCAAGCAGAACCAAGAAAACAATACATATAATGAATATAATAATGTATATGGAAAGAACCATAAAATATTCAAAAGTGAATGTTACAAAATTATAAACAAGCTTGGCCTCAAAGAGATATGAGAAGACACTTCTCATTCACCCCTTATTCCTCTGCAGAGGTGAGAGGGCCACAGATACACAACATTTGCATATATTCTCATACATTTTTGTTTTGCTGGTTTTTCTCTTTTCTTCCTTTTTTTTTATTTTCTTCTAAAAAATGCTGTTATATGGAATGGCTCCCTGGAAGGAGGAAGGGAAGGGAAACTGGGGTAAATTTTGGTAATGTTAAAAAATAAATAAAACATACCAATACAGTTTCAAAAAAAATCAACATGTATATATGAAATCTATTTCATTTTTTGTGATGTTAAAAAAAAATTCTCCTGCATCAGCTACCCACAGGAATGCAATCTTTAGAGAGTTCTGCTCTTCACAAAAAGTTGTTCCATTTCAAATCAATTCCAAACTTCTATGAATTTAGGTCCAAGAAATTGCCTAGATAAATTTAATATCACTAAATATCCTGTGAATTCTCTAATATTTAATCCAGGATTCTTAGGAGCTCTGAAAGGTGTCATAGAAAATATTATAAGAACAAAATGACTTTGGGCACCATTTGATTTGGACAACCTGACAACAATCTCTTCAAGTTCAACCTGCTACAGATCTGGGTTAAATCGGTTCAAAACCTGAGTAGCTGACTTCTGGCCGTTTTCATTTTATTCAATACTATGAATGACACTTTTAGGATGACTCAACTAGACCTTATATTTAAGCTATGAATGATGCAATTTGGCATGTCCTCCAAGGAATTCTTGGCTTCATCATAATCCTAAACTTAAATTTAAGACGCTCCGTGGTAACAGACGTGGTGGGAGGGTAAGTAACGACTTCCGTCTGTGGAGTACGCAGTAAAGCAAACAAGCAAGATGAAGCTGTTTGTAGCTTTTTGGCGACAGTTCTAAGTATGAAGAGGTTACATCCTGTCAAACTGTATAGTAAGTATTACACTGTCTTCACATAACATTTTACATGCTTTATTACTCAGAAAACCAAACTCTTTCCCCCCCCCCAAAAAAGACCAAACCAAAACCAAAAAAAACCCCAATATTCTGACCATAGGCAAGAGCTCAAGCTGTCAAATGCACAAAACATAAAATAAGCAGAAGGCAAAAAGAATTCTCCCTTAGGCTCTACAATGCATCTCTCCCAGATGACACTCTGATCCTACTGAATACAAACAAGGACCTCACAGACCACACTTGAAAGAAAGGGTGCCAGGACAAAGTTTACAAGTCATGCAAGTTTTGACCATCGAGATTTGCTTCTAATTATCACACTTTACACCAGAAATAGATTTCTACAAAAATTAATGATCTATGTTAAGAAAAGATACATATAAAAATGAAATGGCTGACTATGGCAGAAGTTTCCATTTGCTGGAACTTCTGAAGTGGTTTGTTTGGTTTTTTTTAGGTCTTTCAAGTACTAAACCTATCATTTGCCAAAACAGTAGGCACAAAACTCCCAATCTGACAGCAATAAGTCACTATTTCTTAAAGTATTATAAATACCATGTATTTCTTAAGACAACTTTTCTATTAGTACTTTCTTTTAGCTTACATAAAATATATCCAAGTATTTCACAATTGATAACAGGCTTGGACAATTCTAAATTCAATCACTTGATTTTGGAAGTCCCCTAAAATACTTCAGAATTATCCACAAATCCTGGACCTCTCTAAACCTCATCTTCATGGTGGAAGAATAAAATTTCACTCAATTAAGTTCCTGTTTCAAAGCTAGACAGAGGGAGAAGGACATAAGTCAATGTACACGGTTAGGAACATAACAAGAGACAGACTGGACCCACCACAATAATTCCTAACAACTTAAAATAATTTGTGACCACTTATGGAAACCAAATGAGTTATTTGCCAGTGGTCATCCTGACACAACAATTCTCTTCTCCACCTCGACCTTAGCCCAATTCAAATATAGAACCAAGAGGAGAATTAAAGTCCACAAGCATTAAGTGGCAACTCTAGATAGTAGGAGCATAAAAATTATAAATTGTCTCTGACTTCAAGGATCTTAAAACACAAAGGAGGGGCAGCTAGGTGGCGCAGTGCATAGAGCTCCAGTCTTGGAATCAGGAGGACTTGAGTTCAAATTCAGCCTCACTCACTTGACACTTACTAGCTGTGTGACCCTGGGCAAGTCACTTAACCCCAACTGCCTCACCAAAAAGCAGAAATCAAAACAAAAAAAGGGGGGGGGAATAGGACCATGGATAGTAGAAAATAGAGAAAACACACACATACAAATAAGTGAGAATATCACAAGTGCCTAGGAGAGGTCAGGCACACATCAAAGCAAATGGGAGGGAGGGATCACTATTTACTGGGGAAGAGAGAAGAGAGAGGAAGGCTTTATCTAGGAGATGGCACCCAGGTTATGTCTTTGAAGAAAAGGTTTTAAAAGAGATGTGGAAGGACTCTGTTTCAAGCATATGAACAGTATGCAAAAATAGGAGGAGGCAGAAGAGGCTAAGACTAAATACTGGGGAAGGATAAATGGTCTAATTTAGCCAAAACATAACATAATGTGAAAAGAACTAGTGGGAAATAAAGTTGTAGATTAAATTGGTGCCAGTACATAATAGATAAATGGTCGAAAGATAAAAGAATTTTTTATTTTTTTAAATGGTTTTTCATTCTTCATCAGTTTCTTTTTAGCATATTTTTAAAAATGTTAGTTCCAAATTCTCTCCCTCCCTCCAGCCCCTCTCTCACCCACTGAGAAGGCAAAG